TTTCCCATGGTTTTACTAACATATGCAATAGGATGATTTCTCTGCAAGAGAACAACACCAATGCCTTGACCAGATGCATCTGTCTCTATAATGAAAGGTAATGAAAAATTTGGAAGTTCCAAAACAGGTGTAGATGTGAGTGCCTTCTTCAATTTCTAAAATGATGCTTTTGTCCCTTTATCCCACTAAAATGTGGCTTCTTTTTGTAGCAGACAAGTTAGAGACAATGCTATTTTGCCATAATTGGCAATAAATCGTCTATAGTAGCCTTAAAGCCCCAAAACACCTTTTGGCCTAGGCCAATTCTTGACTGCTTTTATCTTCTGTGGGTCAGGCTTAACACCTCTTGCAGAGATCACATGTCCCAGATAGTCTACCCTTGTCTTTCCAAAGCTGCACTTCTTGAAATTCAAAATTAAAGAATGTTGTTGTAGTAACTGAAAAGTGGTTTTCAAGCAATTCAGATGAGCTTCCCATGTTTCTGTGTATACTAAAATATCATCAAAGAAGACCAAAATAAATTTCCTCAAATATTCTTTGAATATGTCATTAATCAAAATTTGGAAGGTTGCTAGTGCATTGCTTAGGCCAAAAGGAAGAACAACCCATTCGTAATGTCATGAATGTGTTCGAAAGGCTATCTTATGTATATCAGCCTCAACCATCCTTACTTGGTTGTAATCACTCCTCAAATCTAGTTTGGTGAAGTATTTTGCACCATGAAGTTCATCCAAAAGGTCCTCAATTAAAGGTATGAGAAACTTATTCTTTACTGTTAGTGCGTTCAACCTTCTAAAGTCGATACAAAATCTCCAAGTGTCATATTTTTTCTTGATTAACACCACTGGAGAAGCATATGCGCTACTACTTTCTCAGATAAATCTAGTAGACAACATATCCTGAACTTGACTTTCAATTTATGATTTTTGCACTTTAGGGTATCTATAAGGTTTTAAATAGAAAGGTTCGTCATTAGTAAGGACGATTTGATGATCATATCTTTTCTTTAGAGGTAGTACGATAGGTGTTACAAACAATTGTTGATGCTCATCCAACAACTTTTGTAAGTCCTGAGTTTGACTATCATTCAAACCAGTTACATCTTCCCCTATTAACATAGAAAGTAACTTGGTGTAGTCCATCCAAGGTATCAACATTGTCTGACAACTGATAGCCTTCAATTTGCCTTCTAATTTAGTTATCATTTGGGATGGTTGTTCTCCTTCCAATTCCACCAGTTGTCCCTTGTGTTGAAACCTCATAGTTACACTACTACAAATAAGGCTTTCCACGTCGGTTCTGGAAGGCCTTCAACGGCGGTTCCAGAACCGACGTTGAAAGTCCTGACTTTCAAATCGAAATTTTTTTTTATTTCCAACCCCTCTCCCCTCTCTCTATTTATCTAGAAATCCCCTCTCTCTTTTATATTATATTTTTATTATTTATCATCTTTTTTTAAAGTTTAGAGCATTACCAAATTAATTTTTTGTCACCGACAGGATTCGAACCCAGTACCTTAGTGTTGGAGGTCGATACTCCAACCACTAAACTACTCGAATTTTTTGATAATAACTTACAAATAAATTATATTTATATACAAATAAATATATATCCGTGTAAATATATAAATATATAAATACAAATATATTTATATATTTTGATATATTTATATAATTATATATTTATATGTTGGATGTGAGGGCACGCTCGAAGGTGAAAGTGTGTCGAGTGAGTTTTCAAAATTTGATGTCAAATTTGTGAGCGAGTCTCTTTATATGGGTTTGTAATTTAATGACAGTAATATAATATTTATAATTTATTAATGATATAAAATAAATATGAGAAACGCATCATTCGCTCAAGGGAAAAATACCAATTTTCGCTCAAGCGAGGCTTGAACGAGTGAATTTCCGTGAGTTTTAACGTATTTTCACTCAAGCGAGAGTCAATCTCACTTTCACCCTCGAACGCGCCTTCACATCCAACATATAAATATATAACTATATAACTATATAAATATATCAAAATATATAAATATATTTGTATATTCTATATTTATATATTTACACGAATATATATTTATATGTATATAAATATAATTTATTTGTAAATTATTATAAAAAAATTATAGTAGTTTAGTGGTTGAAGTATCAATTTTCAACTCTAAAATACTGGGTTCAAAAAATCCTGTTAGTGACAATTCTCTAACTTAAGTAAATTTTTGGTGAAAAAAAATAAAAACACTTTCCAGAAAATATATATATTTACACGGATATATATTTATTTATATATAAATATAATTAATTTGTAAGTTATTATTAGAAAATTACAGTAGTTTAGTGGTTGGAGTATCAACTTTTAACTCTAAAATACTCGGGTTCGAATCTCGTCAGTGACAATTCTCGAACTTAAGTAAATTTTTGGCTGAAAAAAAATAAAAACACTTTCCAGAAAATATATATAAATAAATATATATTTACACGGATATATATTTATTTGTATATAAATATAATTAATTTGTAAGTTATTATCGAGAAAATTACAGTAGTTTAGTGGTTGGAGTATCAACTTTCAACTCTAAAATACTGGGTTCGAATCCTGTCGATGACAATTCTTGAAATTAAGAGAATTTTTGGGTGAAAACACATTCAACGTCGGTTCACCTGGGAACCGACGTTGAATGTCTAAATTAAAAGACTTTCAACGTCGGTTCATCTAGAACCGACGTGGAAAGTGCTTTCTACGTCGGTTGACTAAGAACCGACGTAGAATATGTCCAACATTCCACTTTCAACGTCATTTTTTAACCAACCGACGTTGAAAGTGTATTTAACGTCGGCTCAGCTTTAACCGACGTTAAATGGTGACGTTGAAAGTATATTTTGTAGTAGTGTTAATTTTGCACAATTCTAATATATCTCACCCAAGGTCTTAAACCACTGCATTCCAAGTATTGCACCATAAGTTGATCCTGGTAGAACAAAAATATCTGCAGTGAACTGATGGTCTTTGAAAGACCATTTCACCCGCGCACACTTCTTGGTAATCAAAACATGCTTCTCATTAGCCACATCAACTGAAAATGTCTTTATGTACTAAGTTTTTAACCCCAAGGATTTTACCTACTTTTCACTCAAGAAATTGTGAGTACTCCCAGTATCCATTAGAAAAGGAACGTTTTGCCTCTTAATAAGTCCTTTTAACTGTAAAGTTTGGCCTCCAGCAATCCCTTTTAATGCATGCAAAGATATATGGACATTCTGTTCGGCAACCAATGCTAAGCTTTGATCTATGACCTCTTCATCATCCATATCTGCTTCCGCACTTTCCATCGTATCATCGAGGGTTTCTTGCGTAGTGAAAATCACATTTAATTGACCACAAACTTTACAATGTTACCTTTGGTTTTTATCCCAATTCTCACCACAAAATCTACACAAGCCTTTAGATATACACTCACTTGCTAATTTCCTATTAGCATAAGTGGTTGTGCTAATCATTGAATCAGATTTGCTGCCAGCTTCACTTACTGTCTGACTTAAATGTTGATTCAAACTTGTAATGGGTTGTGATATTTGAAATACTGTTGGTGGCATCCAAGAACAATAACCGCGATTTCTTGAATCTGAAGCAACCTGTTTTCCCAATGACAACTTCTTCTCCATCGCACACAAGAGATCCTCTTACAATGTAGCCAACCTCATAGCTTCTTGAAGAGTTTTTGGTTTATTGAGACATACTGTTTCTTCCAAGTGAGGTTGCAATCCTGCAATGAAGAAGCTGATAGCCATCTCTTCTGAAACAGAAACACAAGCAAGAAGATCATCAAATCGTGTTAAGTATTCCCCCAAACCTCCATCCTGTTTGAGTTGCGAAATCTCAGCGATAGGATCAACACATGCATCGTCATCGAAATGGTTAGCCACATCAATTAATATTTGTTGCTAAGATCATACGGAGACATACTGATTATTGAGACATTTCAGAAATCAAATGACATAATCTTGCTGCTTATAGCGTCAGACAAAATCAAGGGCATCACACGAACATTTGTAGCTAACAAAGGGACAAAAATTATCGATTTTCTCCCAAAGAGTACATAACTCTGTAAAATTTAGTTACAGAGAGAGTACCTTGGTGTTGTTTGTATAAATCTTCCTGTAAATCTGCAATACGAAAAATATCTTCTTGATGAAAGCCATGATACAAATCTTTCCAAACATTGGAAGCATGTTCGATCCAGAGAAATAACCATTGTATTGCAACGATCCTAAGGTCCATGAAGAGGGCTGGTTGATGGTGGTTCGAAGAGAGTGTCATCGACGAATTTCAGCTTATTTTTGGATTTGAGCGCATGTTTCATGGCGGAGGCCTAGACGTGATAATTCTTGTCATCCAACAAGGTGGAGACAAGAACGAGAGTAAAGTTTTCATTGGAAGGAAAAAAAAAAGATTTGAGGGATTAATGTGAAAATCAGTATAGAGTTCGAACAACATAAAAATGAAGAAAGAACTAAAAAAATAACATCTGATACTATATTATTGTTTATATACGCGATGAAACTCATATTTTCATTAATACTTCACACCATAAACAAAGTACAAATAGGATATATATATATATATATATATATATATATATATATATATATATATATATATATAATTCCGTAGAAAAAAAAAAGATAAAAATATGTTGCAACTAAAAATAGTACATAAGAGAAAAAACATGATTTATTACAGCAAAATAATTATGCTAATAAAAATCAATATTTATGCTAAAAAAGTGTAGCTTATTTATAGACACTTAATAGGATTTCAGTGATTTTAAATTGAAAGAAAAAAAGCATAAGTTGATGATATTTTCCATGAAATTGGGTTGCACGTGGCTGAAGGGGTAAGTGTGAATCAAGGTTTGTGTCTCTACAATAAGACAAGCTTTCAACTATTTGAAATGGGAGAGCACAAGACTTTGGTCAACATGAAAATCTCTTTTTATCATGACTCGACACAGAACAGAAGACAGTGCTCAACCAATGAAGAGAGTAGAGTCCGCTTTATCCTTTGTTGGATGCCTACAAACATATCTGTCGAATGATGCTGAATTAAAGGATATATATTCAATATTATCCTATCAATTGTGAAGTATATCTTTTTGTTTGTGGCCTTTCAGAAGTATCCTTTGAACATTTTATGTAACAAAAGAAAAGTGATAGCACTGCTTTCTGATACGCATTTTCTGTTTGCCTAACAAAAACCAGTTTTTTTTGTATGGATGTGTTATGTCTATATGCCTTTGGTTTGCCACAAGAGTGTGCCTTGTCTCAACTTTTTGTTTCATATTATATCATCAATATTGATTGACATATAAGGAATAATAATTTGTGTTTCTTATATAAAGTGTTCAAGAATTGAGTTTTGTGGGGTGATTATATATATATATATATATATATATATATATATATATATATATATATATATATATATATATATATATATATATATATAATTTCATAGGTAGATTTGTGCAGCATTTTTATATCACCACATGAAGTTATCAGATAAACCTCTAGATACATGAATCAAGTTATTTTTAACTTAAGCTGTTCCTCACAAGTTCAGAATGTGTTTCCACAGAATTTATAGAATTACCTAGAAATAATTAATTAGCTTTACAAACTTTATATTCAAAATGAATATTTAGTGTATTAACTCATACAATCAATAACATAACCATAACATTTCTAACATAATTTAAAATTAGATTCAATCACACGTCCTGAAGATAAAGACAGATATATTAATTTGACTGGACAAAAACATATTTAACTATACGATAGCGAGATAAATTAATTTGTCTTACGTATATGGTTAACAGCTTATAGGAACCGACAATAATAGGTGTAGAACATATCTTATAATTTATTATCTATTCTAGTAATATTGTTTTTTATGTTCACAGTTCACCGACAATATATTTTCTTTAGGGCATCAAATCCTGGTAATGGATCCAATCAAACTTCCTTTATACATGTTGCATGTATAAAAGAACCTATCCTTCACAGAAAGACAAAAAAGCATATTTCATATTCATATGATGATAAAGATGCTCCATCACACAGGGACATACAGATATATATCAGTGTATGGTATGTCCCTGTGTGAAAGCACGTAGATAAGAGCCATGGTAAAGGAATTCAACACCCAAACAGAGCTTAGTGTGAGATTGGAAGCCCTCTGGGCAGTGCTGTCCAAGGATTTCATAATCGTGGTTCCAAAGGTACTCCCTCATATTGTGAAAGATGTGCAACTGATTGAAGGTGATGGAGGGGTTGGTACGATCCTCATCTTTAACTTTTTGTCTGGTGAGTGTTGCTCTCATATTTCTAACACTTGGATTTCTTCTAATTGATAATCTGAATTGTTTTATGCTATTAATAAGTCAAAAGATGTTTTGGGATGTAATCATTGTTTTATAACTTTGGGAATCGATCTTAGATGTGTCCCCAAGTTACCAGAGGGAGAAGATCACAGAGTTTGATGAGAGTTCACATGAAATAGGGTTGCAAGTGATTGAAGGAGGTTATCTGGCTCAAGGATTGTCTTACTACAAGACAACTTTTCAACTCTCTGCAATAGGAGAGGATAAGACTTTGGTCAACATCAAAATCTCTTATGATCATGAATCCGACATAGAAGAAAAAGTCAAACCCACCGAAACATCACAGTCCACTTTATTCTATCTTAGACGCCTCGAAATATACCTGAATAGCTCTGCTTGAATTATATTTTAAATATTTTATACAAAATAGTAAAAATCATGTACTGGTGCTTTTACTATCATGTTTATGAAGAGAAATGAAAATACATCTATCTTTAGCTTTGAAGAATGTTTCACTATTTCAGACCATAATAAAAATGATATAGTTTGAGTTATCTTCAGCTTAACATAATTGCTATTTGGCACGAATTGATTTTCTTATGAGTTTACGTACTTCTATAATTACGTAAGAATTATATTGGTGGATCAGATTTAAATTTAGAATAAAATCATTTCAATTGGACGAAAAAAAGTAAAGAATCAATGCGATTGAATCAGATATTTTTATTCCATCAAAATCAATCAATTTTCGTTCGCAAACACTCAACTTTTAAAGTAAACAAATCAAAGACAAAAGACCATTGCAAATGGCAAACAAGGATCAGATTCTTACACATTTTGAGAAAAATATATGTGATATAAATATTTAACCGCTAATCTTGAAAAATAATTTAATTATTTAATAAAGATATATAAAAAAATAAATTAATTTTAAATTATTATATAATAATATCAATTTTAATACTAATTCTATTCGGCTCATACTTGGATTTATACACACAGACATGTATATCTATATATCTATATATATATATATATATATATATATATATATATATATATATATATATATAACTCCAATTAAAAAATCATGTTCAAATAAAAAAAATCAAGTTAATGATTAAATCGATATGAGCAAGTGAAAATAGCATCTAACGACTATTTTTATAATTAATAATGACTTTGGCAAAGGGTACAAGCAACCAAGAAACCATCATTTGTACAAAAAATAATGAGTTACATTTTATAATATTTTTGGTACATTTTTGTATTATTTTTACTTGGACTCATGCATGATGTCCTGTTAACCTTTACTTAGAATCTTAATTACAAAATTTTAAAAGCCAGGCTATATAGTACAAACACTGATTTCTTTTAAAATTCCACAACTTCAATTTATTCAAATATTCAATACACACTGTTACCAGACTTGCACAACATTAATGACAAACACACACGACAAAGAAGCAACAAGAACTGTTTGGTACATTATTTTTTTTTGGAAAGTTATATATATTCACCTCAACCCTGCAAACACTGTAATCAATGGCATTTGTCACTTCTTGCAAACGATTCCCAAGCCATAAGAAAACTTGGAGCAATCAAGGGTGCCCATTAACTCTGCACTCACTTCAGTGCCCTCTTTGTGATGTGAAGGTTTGGAGAAGACACAAGAAGCACAGTTTGGAGAAAGCAAGGAGGAAGTCCTGTATTTGTCCTCTCCTCCAACAACAGGCATTGCCACACCAACCTTTGCAGGGTTCTCAAAATCTTCCCTATAAGTCCTCCCAAGCACACCATCCACCTTAGAGGACAACCCAAAGAACCTGAATTGAACTTCCAAGTGAGCAAAGCAATCATCCTCAGGCACTTGGTAGTTGTGAATCGCATCATCTTCTTTGGTCACTGGCACCACATTCACCATAATTTCGGCAACATCCTCTAGTGTCACTATGATACTGTTCCTTGCAGCTACTCTCTCCACTTTCACGTCATTTTCTGGAGAGCGCCAAGTGGAAAGAGGGCCCTCGGGGAGAGCAAGATGGTTTCCGTTGTATGTGAATTTGAGATGGTCGACATTTTCATTCCATTGGGATGTTTTGGGGGCTTCAAGTGAGAAGGTTTTGGAGTTGAAGAGGATTCCAAGGGCTTGAATCCATGTGTAATCTCTGGCTCTACCTGCTGGCCTGTGTTCAATGAAGCGTGCATTGATTTGAAGAGTTGAGTCAGAGACTAAGGTGAAGTGTTCATTGCTCTTTCCGTGGAATTAGAACACTCTCCCATCCCCACCGATGAAACGGGGGTCAAAACAACCTGATCCTGGTGCATTGCAGTTTGGTTTGCGACCTACCAATCCCAAAAACCAGTTTTATGATGCATCATTTTCATACTGTTCACATTTACATAACTCATAACCAAAAACACCACAACAAGCAGAGGCAACTAACTAATCTTCACAGGAGAATATAACTAATCAACTTTTATTGAGTTTGTCTCCTAGTCTGAATTTTTTTATGAATAAAATTTGAGCTCAAGATTTTATTTAATGGGGCTGTGTCCAATATTACTTGGATCAACAACTTTTTGGTGTCAAAAATATATAATATACATCTATTGTTTGAAAAGTGAACCTGATCAATGTTGAGGTTTTCTTATTTCTTTACATCAATTTCACCTATCACTCTGGCATATTATATTAGTCTCTAAACTTTGTAAAAAGAACATATGAGAAAGTAATATATATCAATGTTACTTTTCAAAATTTGTTCTCTATTTTGTTTAGTCTAATCTAAACTTAAATATTATATTAGATATCTTTTGAAAATTTTAAATAATTGCAAAGAAAAAAGGGTTAACTAGTTAAAAGAAGAAGAAGATAGATTTTAGATTATCTAAAAAGCTTTTTCAACTTTTGTTAACTAAAAGGTCAGACTGAATTCTACTTCTAACCAGTAGCAGAAAAAACTGAAGAGGAGGAACAAAGAAAGGATGGTTTGTCTTACTTCTGCAAACACCTCTGCATGTAGGTTTGTCGCAATCAATTTGACAAACTTTAGCCTTAGGATCTGTTGATTCACTGCTGGGGCACTCAGCTGGACATCTGATGTACTGTCCATAGCATCGACTTCCTTGGCTGCTACATTGCTTGTAATAATATGCATTGCCTTGCAGACTCATACACGACACAAACAAAACCACCACAATTGCTATTACACTGCCTTTAGTAATCTCCATACTTAAACTCTTGCTAATGAAATATAAGAAACAAGGAAGAGTCTCTTAATTGATGCAGCAACACCACCTCTCCCCTACTATTTATACATGCAACATCAACTGTATATGTTGTTTGCTTATTGTGATTCGTGAAGGTGGCTTTTGCGGACTTGTAGCCTAATCTATTGCTATAGCTAGCTCAGATTGAAAGCATGAACATGGGTTTGAATGATTGAATGCAGAATCATCAAAGGGATTCACATAATTGTTGTATTCTTATAGACGGGTACATGCATTTGAAGGTGTTAATGATTCCTTCAACTGCAAAATTGATGTATGAGCTTCTGATCAATGGACAAGGCAAGTAAGGAACCAAACAATATGATACGTTGAGAGTTAAATAATAATGTTAGTTCTAAACATAGGTGATGTAATGGTGGAGTGTGAGTTCATAAAATGTTTAGCTTATTTTTCTTTTGTAAATGCACGTTATAACTCCTAACTTCGGGTTGTGATAATCTGTGCCATTATTTTTTGATGCGATGCTCTCATCTACACGTTGACATGGTATTTAACAATTAATGCATAAGGATTCTGACGCGAGTCCTGGACTATATGTACTTATATTATGTGACTAATATTAGTAGATATCAGGGAAAAAAATAGATGATTGCTAACATATCTAATATCTGAAATTAACATTACACATACCTGTTATTATCGTATATAATAATAATAATAATAATTAATAATTTATTATTATCATCATCATGTCCCCACTTTTACATATTACTAATGATATTCCACGATCTAATTTCGTAACTAATGATTTTCAGTTTAAATATATTTCTCTATCCATAGACAAAAACAAAACAATCTAGGATGAAGTTTTACAGACGGAAATAATCCGTCACAGAATACCTCCAGTTAAAGGATGAATTCTTCACAAATTTTGTGACGGATAAATCTAGGATGAATTTCTAAAAAGAAAATATTCAAATATTTGTTAAATCTTTAATTTTTTTGAGTTATATATATATATATATATATATATATATATATATATATATATATATATATTATTTGTTGGCATTTTGATAAGAGAATTAAAAAAATGTATCAGTTACTTTCTTATTCAAGGTTTTTAATTGATCTTCATTCGTTTCACTATACATTTATTCAGTTAGTCTTTTTTCCAAAAAATAAAACGTATTATTTGTAATTTTTTAATATAAATTGATAATATGTAGTAAAATTGTAATCACTATTTATAGATTTTGAATTTGAAATAGTTTTTAAAGTCTAGATCTTTTAGTTTTATTCTCTTATTTGTTTTAAATTATTTTTCATTAACAGTCTTTTTCGTGTTTATTTACAACATAGTTATCCTATATAATCTTTTTAAATCTAAATATTCATAAAATGATGACATATTGTTTATTTACATCCATAACAAAAAAAATTATTATTTCTTCCCTTATATATTTTTTAGTTTTACTTGTTATAAAATTAAAATTTTAACCAATTTGTCAAGTCTTTAAGGTATTTTTCTTTTAAATAAATAAATTAAAATATAGAATAAAATGTTTATTCTTATTCAATAACTTTACGGTGCTCATAAAGAACAAAATATTTTGCTTATTAATTTCTTATTAAGTTTTTTATTTATTTATTTCATTATGTGTTTGGAGAAAATGTTAATTTTATGTTTTATTAATATTTTCAAATAAATATTCATATTCAGTAGTTATTCTGATATTTTAAAAATCTATTTTGATGTTTTAAAAATCTACACTTTCAAATAAATTTATATTTGGAGAACTTTAACTCTATTTTGATATTCTAAAAATCTATTTTTTTATGAATTTTTAATTTCAGTTATTTATCAAGTAATTTGGTTTATTAAATTTTACCGTTTTTAGTTTTTTCTCAAAGGGAAAAATAATTATGAATTTAATTGTTTCTTATTAAAGATAAATTTGTTATTATTAAATTACAATTTTTTAGTTTTCTCCTTTATTTTTTAAATTAATTTTCATTAACTTTTTTTTATATTTATTTCCAACATAACTATTTTATAAAAAAATATTTGTAAAACGATTATGTAGAATAAATTGTTTATTTATATTCATAAAAATATTTATTTCCTTCTTTCCCTTATGTATTAAAATGAAACTTTTTATAATTGTTTTTCATAAAATTAAATTTTTTAGCCAATTGTTGAAGTCTGTAAGGTATCTTAGTTTTAAATGAAATAGAAACTATTTTTTCTTTTACATGTTGAACATATAGAAAACAATCTTGCCCTCAAGATTGCATTGAAGATGAGCTTGTTAAAATTTATCAAGATCTTCCCGTGCAATCTATTTAATAAATGTTATCGTATAGAGCATATAATGGTTATGTAAGTTATTTAAACTAAAATTTTTACTATTCTAATTATTGAAATAATTTATTAATCATTATATCATTCGATATAAGTATTTATTTTAGTTATGTGTGAATAAGGGGAAAGATAAAGTGTATAGATTTTTAGATTCTCAACTCATTCAATCATTAGATAATAAGAAACCAAAGATATAAACATACATCACAAATAGTCTCTTATTAAAAAAAGATTTATTTTGCACTAAATGTTTATGAATAAGTAAATTCTCTTTATAATTTATCTTTACTCAATTCTCATTTTAACTAATTTCAATATATAATCATCATTGACAATTGTTTGTCATATTTATGATTGACAATACAAATGTATGGTTTTATTTATTGCAAAAAAAAAACATCTATATACCTTAAACAAATAACAAATTGGTAACAAAACTTTGTTGTTTTTATAGAAATTATATTACAATTATATTTTTATGCGTTAGTTAACTAAATGTATAAGTTATTAGTGTTTATTTTAGATCTAACATAATGAGTGGTAAGTCAAATGGAAGACCACAAAAACTTACGTGGTTGCATTTATAATCTATAATATTTATTTTGGTTTATTTTTATTACTAACAAACTAATATAATTTCTATATTTTGAGAAACAATGTAACAAATTGGAGGATATGAGTATAATTATTATGTAATGTAATGGATGACAACCATTATCCATATAGAAATAGAAAGAAGTTGGAATAAGTAAGACAAATAATTATTTAAAGATGATTATGCACCAAAAAGTTAGTTATAATTATACTTATAAAAATTTATTTAAAATATTGTAATTTTTTTTGGACACATCTTCCAAGGATATAGATTTCATAGAATATATTAGATGAACGTAGGCAATGTACTTCATCAACTTGATTAATAGATTAAGATAACTAAGTTTTTGTTAAAACAACATTATGTATATGATCATCTTTATTGTTGAATATTAGAATAGTTGATTAATTATTCTTATATAGTTAGGATATTTGCCTAATTATTCTTATAGATATTTATAATAATTTTGTAGGATTTTAGTAAAACTAATATTAGATAGTAACTATTATATATATTTATGATTCCTTATGTAATGTAAATATGTCTAAAATATGGATTATATTGTACTAAATTATTTTGAATATACAGGTAATGAGATAAAGCCTAGAACATATTGCTTATTAAAAAAAAACTCAAGATACAATGATAGTTAATACTATAACTATCGTCATATGCATGTTTGACACGAGGATTCAATAATGGGTATACCCATAATTGTCATTGTATCTCGACATACAACAATGGATAAAGACCCGTTATTGTATTTGTCACATCTAACGACGACTCTATCAACAAAGGATTTCCAACTGGCGTGTAGGCCAATTTTAACTGCCGTTAAAGGGTATTGCTACAATAGTGACATTGAAAAAAAAAAATAGAATATATTTTCAAATGTAAATTGAAGACTTTGAAAAATTAAGAAAGAATTAGGGAGACATCGAAAAGGACTAAATGGATCAAGTTACAGTAATGCAATCAAAGAAGAAATAAGATCCAGAAGTAAGTTATACAATTGGATGCACCTAGAGGTGGTTATAACGCACTACGTGACATGAACGGTTATATGTATTACGTGTCAATGAAACTGCTCAAAAAAGAAGAGAAATAATTATAGGAAAAGAAAATAATTTATATTTTATTTTATTTTAAATTTCTCTTAGAAACTACATAAAATAACCTATAAATAGAATGAAATAAATATAATTAAGTGTGACAAATTGTATTAAGAAACTTATATTCTGAAAACACACATTGAATAAGGAAAAACTGTTTTAATGAAGTTTTTTACAATTTGAGTCACTATTTTCATTGAGTTTTTTTATCAATTACAATTTACTTTATGACACATTTACTTTTCTTGCATGTTTATTTTTCTCGCACTTTACTTTCACTATAAAAATCTTCATAATTATTAGAAGTTTATTTTTAGCAGTTATAAAAACCATAAAAATTGAAGGTAATTTATGACAAATAATTTAACTAACACAGTAATCCTAATTAATATTAATTTTTTTAATTTTTATTTGTTTTTATTTATTTTCATTTTTCTAACTTTGTCTTTTCTGATTCTCTCACTTTCTTCTGCCCTCTCTTTCTCTTATTGTCGTCTCTTTCATTCTCACACTCATCCTTCACTACAACGCCACATATCCTTTCTCAATCACTTATTCAGATTTAATTTTTCAATTTATTAGCGAGTATTTAGTTTAAGTTATTAAGTTCTTACGTTTTACTTTTCAAGTTCACGTGTTTGAGATTTTTGTGGAAGATTACAAGAGTTTTATCTATCGCTTCTTGCTTCATAGCATATGCTAATTTCTCCTTCTTTGTGACGCATGGCAAAAATCTACGTTCAACCGTTCTTTGTTTTTCCTTAACATCGGGTACGAAACTTTTAATATCATTTCTTGTTTCGTTGCGTTTTGTTGTTATTTTATTTGTGTTTCGAACCACAATGCGAATTATTGAGTCACTGGTAATTGTTGTGGGACATATTTGTAAAGCTTGTGACAGACAATGAACTGTTTTGGAATGACTAAG